CAGCTGTAAGGGTTTACCCATAGGCCCCAGAGTAGTTCCTTTTTGGGGGTCATATTTAGAATCCTATAAAGTAATCCCAAAAAGGAACTACAATGGGGCCTAGGGGTTTACGATGTAGGGTCTCAGATACCCACCAGCAACAGCAACCCTAGCGAGGCCTTACAACGCTGCTTGAAAAAATCTTGCATCCACACCCCTATTCTCATATTTCTTTCTGGCTCTTGGAAACTCTGCAGGTCTTACCCCTAAAGTACTAAGCCCTTGAACCCCAAAGTCAGAAGCCCCGAACCTAAACCCCCAACCCTAGGCGAAACCCTCACACCCCCTAAACCCCAACATGCAACACAGACACCCCACAGGCTCCCCCTAAACCCTAAACCCCTAAACCCCTAAAACCCTAAACCCCCTAAACCCCTAAACCCCTAAAACCCAAAGCCCCTAAACCCTAAGCCTTAAACCCCTAACCCTAAACCCTAACCCCCTAAACCCTTTTTTACATCCAGGCCTATTGCAACTGCCGGGCCCTAAACCCCTAAACCCTAAAACCCTAAACCCACAGGCTCCCCTAAACCCTCCAAGAGACTTCAGAGCCGGCGGAGGCCCGTCAAAGACAAAGACCTGAGCCGCTGGGTGGCTTTGATGATATGGGGTAGTTCTCCAAGTTGGGGACCCTTTAAAGGGATCCATAAGGGGCTATAAGGGTACTATAAGGGCTCTATATGGGTAGTTCTCTAAGTTAGAGTCACTTTTGGGGTTTATGGACTAGGGTTTAGGATAGTTCTCTAAATATGGGTCCTTTAAATAAGGTTGCCGTACAAAAAATGGGATCTGGAAAGGGACCCTAATTCAGAGAATTACCCATATCCTGTTGCTGCACACTGTGTGACAGTGGGTTTATGATCTAAAGTATCATAGGTTCTGTTGTTGCATGCATACTTTGTCGCAGTGGGATTATGATGAAGACGATCCTGATTAGGTTTAGGGTTTACGCTCTCGCAACTCGGACTCCGCCAGACGAGGTCTCTTGTGTCCAACTGGATACATCAACTACAAAGGAAATAGCGAACAATAACAAGCCTAACCTCACCCCAGCCCGATGGAATAGATCAGCCCTCGCAGTGATTGTTCAAGAGTTGGCTAGGTTTAGGGTTTAGGGTTTAGGGTTTAGGGTTTATGTCGTTCTTTCTAACTCCTATCGGAGCCGCACGCTTCTGTTTCTTGCCGGGTTTCAAAGGCCTTAGAGGGGGTTGCACAAGTGGTTCTAGGGTTGATGGTATCAATCCTGCATCACCCATAATAATAATAAGAATAATAATAGTAAGGAATATACCATAATTCCCATAGTTTAGGGTCCTTCACGTAATGCAGGATTTATATCATCAACAGTATCGTGCTCCACCAACTCGAGCATCCAAGGAGCTGGTCTGATTTTGAGGTACAGCCTCAGCTTGGCATGAAAATGGGGGTTTCCGAAAATAGGGGACCCTAATATAGTACCCCAAATAGTGAAATCCTTATTATAAGGGCCCCAAAATAAGGTACCCCTTGTTTTCGGAAACTCCCAAATGGGACAGGGCGGCTCTGGAGGCTTCATTTAGGGTTTCAGTACTCACAACTGGGACAAGCCTCGCCATTTACACTCTCACAACTCGGACAAGCCGGGCGAGGATCCATAGGTGCAAAGGGTCGGCGTGGCCATTTAGGGTTTAGGGTTTCGGCTCTCACACTCGGTTTAGGGTTTAGGGCTTAGGCTCTGGAGGCTCTTCGGCTGTGACTTGGAATCGCTGGACAGGTGAACGACACTCACGCCAGAACACAGCTTGCAGATCCGCCGGAAGAAGCCAATCATGTGCGCCCCCTTGAGCATGTCGCCTGCATGGCAGCGCCGAGCCATTCCGTGATGTGGGATGCATTGACGAAACGGAGCAAGCAAGCCTTTCTCGTCTCTCATGGCTTTCCTGCATGGAATGACCAGAAGAAAACGGCCACCGGTGGAAGACAAAGACACGCAATCGAAGCCAAGCTGCAGGAAGTGGTACATCCAGATGCTCGCCTCGGCTATAGGATTGCAGTGCATGAAGGAGCTGAAAACGGTGGAGCCCGCTTGATGCCGCTCCCCGCCATCTCATAAGCTTCGGCACATCTACGGCGACCACCTTGTTCTCGAGGGCCTCAGTCTGTTTGAAATCTGGCGGCATCAGAACTCGGAAGATCTAAGCCGAAAGAATGATGCTGCACATATAAGCATTGACAAAAAGAGCAGTGGAAAGCCTCCAAGCCAGAAGAATCTACGAAACCAACATTGCAGTTCATACTGCAACTACCAGCCACGCCTGTCCTTGTGAGCCTGAACCTTGAAGCCCCGAACTGTGAGGGTCGGGCAGTAAAGTTCACGCGCTGCCCTGCCGGGGATGCGAGGTCCCACAGGCCTCCGTGGAGCTCTTGGCTTAGCAGTTCCGGACGGGAGAACCCAAGGAGGTCGGGATTCGGAGGAGGGTTGTTCAGGGTTCAATACATTCTCGGGCCCCTTAACTGTTAGAATAGGGTTTCAGATATACTGCAGTATGATTCTAGTAAGGAGCCCCCAGTATTGGCAATTATTTCGGCTTCTATAGCCTGGGCCTTAGGGTCGGGACTCTCGCAACTGGGAAGGGTTCAGGGTTTAGACTTCAAGATGACGGGGTGCGATTGCGAACTTGGCCTGTGGAGCCTCTGCCTGCCGCAGGCCGCAGGATGCTGCCCCGGCAACCAGGATGACTACTTGGAGGATCATGCGACTTAGCAACTAAGGTTATTATTAGGGTAGCTATACATATAGCTACTTATAACCCCAATTAAGGCACTTATAACCATACTTACTAAGTCCCATGATCCTCCAGGTAGGGTAGCTCACTGTTCCGACACACGACACACGACGAAGATGGAATCTAGCAAGAAACGCAACGGCGTCGTGCCTCCCAAGCACGTTTGAACTTATTCGGGTTCGTCTCACTTGTCTGCGTTTGCTGTCTTGTTGGAAACGTCCTCAAGGCGAGGCTGGATACATGGAACGCTGGTCTCGTCCTGCAGTAGCCTCCCATCCGGTTTCGCCACGGAAACTACGACAAAGCCACGGCGAAGGGGAGAACTTCCGACCGCAGGGGTCCACGCATTGTCACACTGGCTTTAACAACATATTACATGTAGGGGCACCCCATCAGAAAAAGAGATCACAGCGCTCAGGATCCGAAGATGCGCATCTTTAGGGTTTAGGCTTAGGGCTTAGGGTTACAATGGGTTTTAGAGCTCAGGGCCCGAAAAAAAACCCTGGGCAGTTTCGTGCTGAGGATAAGCCTTTGCCGCAGCCCCCTCAGAGTAAAACTGCTTCCAGCCTTGAACTCCCATGGCTCACCAGCGAGGTCATCTACAGCTCAGGAACAGAACCAGGGAGCAGACTCAAGCGTCAGGTTTAGGGTTTAGGGGTTAGTGGTTAGGGGTTAGGGTTTAAGGATCGGGGTTTAAGGTTTAGGGCTTAGGGTTTGGGTCTCATCTACGTCTTCGCTGTGGCAGAACTAGCGGGAAGAAGGTCTGCGTTATCAAACCACTCCGCAGACATAGTCCTTGGTGCTTCGTTGCTCAAGAGCGGCCATTTCGTGATGCTGACTATGATGGCTCATATCCTCCATGTGGCCTGCGTAGCCATTGCTTAGACGGCGCGGGCGTGGCATCACGATAATGTAGGGGCCTTAATAATTAGAATAGGGCTTTGGGATATATTATACTGTTATACTATAACTATAAGGAACGACCCAAAATAGTGTTGGTAATTATTAAGGCCCCTATATTAGATGGGACACTCTGCACAATCCCATTCTCAGCCCCCTGGTTGGACCGATCTCTCTCTGGTTGGACCGATCTAGAAGATCAAATTCTCTACTCAAGTCTCGAACACACTGTCTCTTATGTACAGAAACCACGGCAGTTAATCCATGCCGCAAGCTTGGAAGCTTCCAGCATGATGGCAAAGAGGGATCTCCGAAACAGCTCTCTTACGTCTTACGTCTTCATTCTGACTGTTCGGCCTGGTAATGGTGCGGTTTCTGCCAACTTTGAAAAGAGATTTGCGCATGAAGTGTGGATCGAAAAGCTGCTTTGCCTCTCGCGCTTGCTGCCTCGGACAGGAGCTGTTGCCACTGCAGGGACATCGCTTCGCAGAACTGAAAAACTAGAACCTCCTGATTCACAGGGCCTTCCTGGCAAAACCCCTCTTGAGCCCAGTCTCCCCGAAACCCTAAACCCTTTTTTTGAGCAGGGACTGCAATGCACTAAGCCCTGAATCCCTTCAGGCAAGCTCCTGACTCCAGCGCTCATGGCAGAGCACGTGAAGCATGTTGCACTGTCTGCAACCACTGATCTGGGATTACTTAACCCCAGGCTCCATCCACCCGCTTCGTCTCCGATGTCTGGGGTTACGGCGCCGCAAAAGCACAGCACTCGGACAGGTCCTCGCTCCTCACGAGAGCCGCAAGGCTCCGTGTGTCTGTGTAGTTCGGTTTCAATCCAATGTGTAAGGGTCCTTCAAAGCTTATAAGGCTTAAGGGTGTAAGGCTCTTCAGTGTCAAGTATTCGGGCCTCATTCCACTTCAATAGTAATGATAGTAATGAATTATGAGAAGAAGAACCATAACAATAACAACAGTAATACTAATACTAAAAGTAATAGTTAATAGAAGAATAAATGCATAACCAAGGTTCCAGGCATGTGGTTCGAGGTCCTGCTGATGTGAAACTAAGGCGAGTACAAGACCGCCATCAAGACACAAACTCATAATTCTGAAAATTCCTCTCACCAAGATCCATAAACCTTTCCCGCAAACCTAGTAGTGGACCTCAGGGACTACTGTGATCAGGGTCTCACCGCATGCGTATCAAGTAGGCTACCAGGATTTACAAGTGAAACCAAGGCAGAGAGTTGCCTTGAGGTATTTTTTCTTTACCCGTTCGTTCTTTGGTTTCGACTCCTACCCGGAAATCCCGAAAGCAAGCCTTGCATGGATCCCTTTCTCAGTCTTGGTTCGAAGTCCTCTTTTCCTGCCTAAACTCGAAGAAGTGGAAGCCCCGAGATACTTTCGGACAGAGCAGAATTCAGCAAGTCTCCGGCACCAGCCATCCGGGAAGATCGTGGCACCTCAGGACTCATAGACGCTGCTGGCAACGCAACCAGGCGCTTGTAGGGACTTTGGGCTGTCTTTGGCCTCGGTCTCAGATAAGTCCAGGCAAAACGACGACGGTCTGCTTTCTCAACTCGTGCAGCGCGTGCCTTCGGCATGTGCGCCTAGGCTGCCATCTCCTGACAAGTACCTGGCCGGTGGCATCACTCCAGTTTATGCACCGACGAGAGCCTCCCACGCCGGAGGCAAGGTTCTTGGAAATCTTGCTAGGATGACAGGATGACTGTCCATTGCCGGCCAGCATCAGCCGGGTCGTTGTCGACGTGAAAACCTCGCAGGCAGAGAGGGACGCTATGCCTGCCCTGTGAGGCCATGCACTTGTCACTTGTCCTTTTCCGGCTCTATGGAACTCTACGTACATGAAGCAAGAATGTCGAGCGCTCGGCGCTGCAAGCCGCCTGGCCTTATGGATGAGACTCGCAAAGCGGACATTTTGGGTGATCAGCTGATAATAAGCAGCTGCATGCGTCAGCGCTCCGCTATAGAAACGAAACAGTCATAAGCCCCGCACGCATAGGCAACAAGCTGCAATGGCTCCCCATGTGTCTCGGGCATGCGCACCGCGCGATGCAGGCCTCGACAGTACAAGACTGATCCTGCAGAAGTTGTGTGCTTTTGCAGCAGGCTTCGCTCGCAAACCCTGAACCCTAAGTCCTGCATATTCAAGAATTCCCACACCTTACCCTAAACCCTAAACCGTAAACCCTTTTTTTGAACCCCAACTCTGCCAATCAGCTTGGAAGCAGCACGCCCGACTAAACCCTAAACCCTTACAGTACACCAGCTCTTTTGTGACTGCTCTGCCTGAGCTCTCAGAGGCCTGCGCTTCGTCTATACCGAGGAGGCCAGCGAGGTCCGCCCTCCAGCCTACTGGATCATAGGACTTATAGTAGCTAAGGTTATTATTAGGGGAACTATGTATACTTATAACCACTTATAACCCCAATTAAGGCACTTATAACCATACTTACAAAGTCCCATGATCCTCCAAGCTTCTAATCGTCGTCTGATTCCTAGATGGACAGCTCAGGCATGGAGTCATCCTGCTCCTGAGAAGCCGCTGATATCAGCACAGAGCATGCATCCTCCAGGACCCTCCAAGTACCCTCAAATAGGGGTATATGGTCCCAAATTAAGGGTATTTAGGGTCTCATAGAGGGTAGATGGAGGGTCTAGGCTCGTATCTGAATTCCCTAGATCATTTGATCAGCTGAAGCCTTGCCCTCTACCCCAAAATCTCTCCCAGTCAACTTCTTGAGCACTTGTCTGTCTAAGGGAACCCCCTGCCGGCTTCGGACATCTTCAAACTAGCATATATGAAGCGCGAGGCGAATTAAGGCACTTAGCCAGCAAAGTACCGACAAACTCAGCGTCCTTTCCTGCCCTCTCAGCTGCGTCAAAGCTTTCGGCAGTTCGGGCACGAACGCTACAAGTTAGGCGTAGCACCAACACTAGGAACAGCGTGATCTCAGAGAGGCGTGAGAAGGATCCGCTTGCCGAACTTGCACAGAGAAACAGACCGACACGCCAGGTGAGCGCCTGTCACGCAGCCAATGTTACGGCAGAAGGCAGGCCGCCCCCCGGGGTGTTCAAAGAAACTGCGAGCTTCGGAAAAGGAGGGACCCCAGCATCGCAAGATCCTTAGTGCAAGCCCTACAGTAGCATTCCCCTAAAGGGGAACCCCTGGTTTCTGAAGCTCCCACTTGAGCCTCAAAGGCAGGTCCCCGGCAGGGCTATCGGAGGGTCTTGCCTTAGCTTTGGCCTTCCGGAATCCGACCTCCGGAGCCTCAGCTCCCGGAGACCCCCGACAGCCACGTGCAATGAGGAGTGCCTTCTTTATGGCTTTGCTTCATGGGACCGGGCATGCTAACATGAGCAGCCAGCACTCTCCTCTGTAGCTGCTCTTGTGCAGTCACAGGTTTTTACGGAACCGAAACTTCAGGGTACAGGGTCGCATCGGCTTTTGACTCTCACAGCTGGGGCGGACGTAGGAAGAGGAGAAGACAAAGTCGGACGCTGGGTCTGCTGGAACAGCCCACCGCCATGAAGAAACCAGACTGAGAAAGATTTCTACCTCGGTCGAGGTATGCTTTCTTTGAAAATTTCCGTGCAGAATCCTGTCGAGGTGCCATGGAATCACCAGCATAAACCCTTTTTTTGAACCCAGACTCTGCCAATCAGCTGGGAAGCAGCACTTCCAGATCAGCATAAACCCTAAACCCTAAACCCCAAACCCCAGCATACCTTCTTGCGGTGCTCCTGGAAGCCCGGGAGGCCCCGAGCAGCCTCTTGCATACATTCATACACGATTAATGTAGGGGCCTTAATGGTTGTCAATAGGGTTGTGGGGCCCATTATACTAAAATTATAATAAGGAACCCCCAAACGACTATAGGTAGTTACTACTATACTGAACTTAGACCCCTAGCAAAAATTATAATTTTAGCTGCTTCTTAGGGTTTATAGTAACCAAAGATTAAAAACTATTTCTAAGTGCCCCTAAGATTAAGGCCCCTATATTCCATACAAGCGTGTTATTAAATGCGCGCTAATATGTAATACTGATGTCGTTGATTTTGCTTAATGCTCGGTCCTAGCGTTCAGCACTTTGGTGGGTTTAGTGAAGGCGCCGGACATGGATTCTGCGCGAAACCTTGAAACAAAACTGGGCCGAGTCGCCACACGACTGTACCCTAAACCCTAAACCCTAAACCCTGATCCTATCTTCCGTGCACTTGGTCCAGCGGAATTAATCGGCCGGATCTAATCGGCCAGAAGCTTGAAACTAGAGATGTACTGCGTTCATGGGCTGCGAGGCAAATGAGGTATTGCCGATGTTGCCAAGCCACCCGAAATTAAGTCAGGACGTCTAATTCCCGACATTCCTCTTCGAGTAGGACATCGTTGAGAGTCTGCTTCTGTGCAAGAGCACAACTGTGCAAACCGCTACTGGGCTAAGCGGCACTACTGGGTCACCAGGTCGGTCACTTAGGACCTCTTTCTGCTGCATCTGCTTGCGGATCGCACTCGCGTACCTCCCTTGGTGTCAAGATCACGCGGGTCGGGCAACTAACCGCTAGAGATCTCTGGCATGTGCAGTCGGGTCACACCGCATACTCGTGCAGGTAATTCCCGTCATGCTTCACCGCTGCTCTCTTGGGTTTGCCCTCCCTGTCGATCAGCAAGCGCACAATCCTGCAAGAGGCAGTCAATATACCGTCATACCTTCTTGCAGGAACAGCCGAAGCTTTATGCTGGCAGAGAGTCTTGGCTTTGAGCGTGCCAAGGGCAATATCAACTTTGACCTCCACATAGTCCTTCCAGAACCAAGACTAGACAGCATATCATATCATACATAGTATGTTTATGTTCTATGTTATGTAGTCTATGTTATATGTTATCTACATGTTATACCTTGTCAGCATTGTCAGCAGAAACGTGTTGCACCACAAGGGCAACAGCATCAAGAGAAGGATAAGGGTATGCTTATCACCGTCAAAGCGTGTGTGTCGAAGCTTTGGAAAGACATTGGGATCCTGCACCACGATACTTTGTCACGTAGACAACAGCCACAACCACGTGCAACAAGCCGCATGGCTGCCAACAGTAGACAGGACTTACTTCCAATAAGCCAGCGGAAAAAGGTTAAGTTCTCAGACTTAAAATTTCTTATCAGAACCCCAAAAAATGTATTTAACCTATTATAAGAACCCAAAAAGTTTAAAGGTTGGGTGTTGGGGAACTGAGAAGAGACCTGGAGACCTGGAAGACGATGAGTTGGAGACAAGAATGCGAAAAGTGCTGCTGCTTGGTGCGGGGTGGTTTCATGGGTTTAGGGTTTAGGGTTGGGTGATGATGCTCACTGTGAAGGAAACATGGCCACGCGAAGAGAGCGGTGAGTTCTCCTTGCTGTTGTCTGCTAGAAACCCGCTTCTTTGGATACTGTTGAAAAAAATCTGGTACTTGTCAGCGTTGATACGGTTCTTCTTGTCCCTCATGACATGAAGATCTAGGTTATTCCAAGGCAAGCATGACTATACCAGCTGAGCAAACTAGACAACGTGACGCTTTGATTCACGCACACTCCCATCCCGATTCGCTTCTCTTCATTGGTCGCAGCATGCAATGTGGGGGCCTTAATCATTAGAATAAGGTTTTGGGTCCCATTATACCATACTTCAAAGAAGACACCACCTCAAAATAGTATAATTTAATTATGTACCAGGACCCCCCAATGGCCCTTTAATAGAGCCCTTATGGTCCTTAATAGTGGGTGTTTGGGGAATAATAGAGGGTAGTTGGGGGGGTCTATGTAGGCCCCTATATTTGGCATCACGTCTCCGGGCCTCGTTCGGACTTATGAACGGGTCGGACCAAAAGTTCGCTGCGGCTTCCTCGCTGCCTCAGCCCGGACAGTCGGGGGGGTTAGGGTTTAGGGTTTAGGGTTTAGGGTTTATTAGGGTTTAGGGTTTAGGGTTTAAGGTTTAGGGTTTAGGGTTTAGGGTCTTCTTCAGCTCAGCTTCTGGAAAGCCGCCATAAGGGCTTGAAGTCGACTTCTGATGTATACCTCGGAGAGCACTGTCGCAACGTCTTATCTTTGTTGCGATCATGCTTCCGTGATTTCTTCCTCTTCAAGTAAGATGCTGCCAACTGTCCACGAAGTCACAGAGCGGATCCCCTTCGAGGGGTTTGGCATTCTGGCTCGGAACGCAGAGGCAGTGTCCACCTTTGCCGATCTCGTCTGAGAGCTTCCCCACTAAGTGGCAACTTTGGGCATAGTTCCTAAGACTATAAAGCGGCACAGCATGGAATCGCTCCTGACACTATCAATGGTCCATGCACAGCGACGGATATTCTACGTTCGGTCGAAAATTATTCGGGACGCACAGGGCTTGGAGTCCTCTTCTGGGTTCCTTGCGGCTACAGAAACAGACTGCGACTATCTGCAAGGGTGTGTCAGCTGCGAGGGCAGGAAAGCAGGCAAGTCCCCTCAAGACAGAGGTGCCAGCATGCAAGACACTTACTAAAATCTCCGCTTGGAGGCCAGAGTATTTAGTGGACTTGTTCTTGAGGTCGTACATGTAGGTCTCCGAATGGTTGCGAGTGCTTCGCTGTATGGTCATCTGCCGGTCTTGGACATCTGCCCTGATACCTCGGTCACTTTCCATGCGAAGCCTTCTCGAAGCCACAATCACATTCGGCAACAAGAATCTTTCCTGACAGCTATACTTTGAAATTGAATGCAGCTTCACACCGTTACACCCATCCTGTACCCAATCAAATAAAGATTGGAAAAGGACGCTAAGAGAAATGGCAAGCTGGTCCAACATATCCATCTCCATCTGGCAGATCTAGCCAGAACCGAGAGCAGAGCCAACGCGGCAGTGAGGAATCAAAGCTCTAAGTCATGATTGTCAGGGGTGAGTGTGCCTTACCAGTCCATCACATGGAGCTGCAGTAGCAGCTCGGTAGGCTCAGTAGCAATCCAGAATCCTAAATCCTACCTTGAGCCCTAGAACCAGCCGTGCAGAACATGCAGTGATGCCATGAAAAAGCAGAGATCGAGTTCTTCCAAGTGCTTACAGTCCAACCGACCTTCCAAGCAACCGTCTAACAGACTTCATTCGACCCATGCAGCCAATGAAATGATCCCTATCCAATCCAACTTCACCCAAGCTTGTCCTTCCAGATGCGGGCTGTGTGTCAAAACAGCGTTTAAAGGGGTTAGATGGGTTTTGCGGGGTCCATTCGGGTTTTCGAGGGTCAGATTGGGTTCACCGGCCGGTCTGCCGCCACGCTGCGGAAAAGAGAGACCCTGGAAGAATCACGGTATGTGGCCCTCCTGAGGACATGAACAAACTGTCGCAAAATTGAGGAACAGCAGATCGTCTTGCAAAGCATTGAGGCTTGGGAGTATGCTCGGAAGACAGACGCTTCAAGACTATGGTTCGGTTCCTGTCATGTTCGAAAGACATGTGGCTTCTCCGATGAAGGATGAAATCAAACTGAGGCTTTCCATTGCTGGATGTCTGTGAACCCATCCTATGCCATGCGTCGTGTTCAAGGCTTGGTCGAATCCGTCTGTTACTGTTTTCAGCTGGCAGTGATGCCACTGATACGCGGCACGATGCGCAGCGACCTTATTAGCAGCTGATACTGCGAAGCGTCTCGTTCTACTCGCGCTGAATGTCAAGCCGGGCGGCATATTGCAGGCACTCAGCTTCATATCAAAACCTCAGCGTAACCAGATGTGCAGAAAACAGCAGTGCACCGAGATTATTTGTCAGTGTACCTGCAGACCGGCTACTACCCAAAGGCCCATCCCAAGTGCGTGCAGCTGAGCATCGGCATGGCAACCTGTTTAAAGGCTCGTAGCCAATGTGGATCACCGTGAGTTCGCAGACTTGCCCGAGGCCTCGTTGCACCTCACAAAAGAATTCCAGACACCCCAGAACCATGCCCTAAGTGAGTTTTCTGCTGATTTAATAAGTAGCTCTTCTAGCAGAAACGGAGAAACGGAGCTCCTGGCAGCAGAGATGCCAAATTGTCCGTGCCCTGGCATGGCACGACCCTGTTCCCAGCTATCCAACGCTGACCTCACGATGGGCGCGCATGTCACCCTGGTGCTACGAGCACTGCCAGCACGTGTGACAAAACTTCTTCAGATGCACAGGCACCCTAAACCCTAAACCCTAAACCCTAAACCCTAAACCGTAATCACGTTTGAAGGACGGGCCAAGTCGCACTGCTGATAGATGTCCAGGTGAACTTCTATGGCACGTCGCAGGTCTGAAATCTGAGTGGGTCTGTGGTTCAACTACACCACAATTCCGCTTATGCACACACACACACACACGCGCACACACACACACACACACCCACGCACGCGCACACACACCAAAACAAAAACGTCAAGCCGTCTGCCCGTCGGACGTTTTGTCTTCGTTGCTGCACACATAAATGCTAGATGCACACAGAGCGCGAAAAGGGAAAGAGAGAGAGAGAGAGATAGAGCGAGAGAGCGACACAGAGAGAGAGGAGCATTCTGATGAGCATCTGGAAGTTGAGATGTCCTGCTTATCAAAGTTCATCGGCACACGCTCCACCCTGAACCCCTTAAACCCAAAACCCCAGTATGACCCCTGGAACCTAAACCCTAGACCCTAAGCCAAAAACCCTAAACCCTTCGAAAGACCAAGAGACTGGCATTTCGCTGTGGACTGGAAGCTTCAAGCTTTCACCGGACAATTTGCGAACATCCAGCTTCCAGGTCTGGCCCACCTTGGGGGCTTCTTGGAATTGGGGGTTTGAGGGTTTACAGGGCTTAGGTTTAGGGTATTAGGGGTTTAGGGTGGACAAAGCCTGGCAAGGTCTGCAGCGATACTTAGGGCTTGTGGTTTGGTAACGGGCTTGGGGTTTATGTTTGGGGGGGGTAAGAGGAAAGGGGATCCCCTTTTGAGAACAAACAACGAACAAGTCCAGGTTGGGCTTCTTCTTGAGAGACTGCGAGGTCTCAGTCGGCTCCACCAATGAATCATTGCTCTCCTCTGCCTCTGGCACTGCCCCCAATGTCTGACAAAGGTGTGCATCTTTAAACGGCTTTGCCTAGTGTTCATGGCGGTAATTCACGAGCCGGAATACTGCCCAAATGCAAGTATCACCACCACAAGTCCCAAATCCCTCAGCCTCTTAAACAGTAACTAAAGCTGATCGAGCACGTCTACTATTGGCAAGAAGTTTCGCAGACTCCACAAGAAGCCTCCTTGGAACAGCCCAAGCGAGGAAAGGCTAGGACCGCTAGGACTGTGGTCCGGGCCGTCACGCGGCCCAGCTGGACAATGGACCTTGCCGTGATTTCTCTCAAGGGCTCAACACCGCTTCTCGCAGTGCGCTGGCCGCACACATGATGTCTGAACCCACCATCTGATCATCGAAAAACGCGATGCGGCAACAGCTTAACCAAAGTTGTACACTCGTACAGCGATACACACATGTCTTGTGCGTAGGCGAACTGTTCACGAAAGGATCAGTGCAGACAAAAGGCGTGAGACATTGCTCTTCCGACGAAGAGTCCGACAGGCTATCTATGTCAGAGTCCTCCTGGCAGGGGTCGTGTCGTCGCTGTTGCGGTGATTGCTTGAGGTGCTGTCGCCAGAAAAAACATGTGCAGCCTACTTTATCCGGCGCAGGCCGACATGAGTTAGAGGCAAGCTAGCGCATCCTTTGTCCGTTTTGGGTGATAATACCACCAGCCTCTCAACAAGCCCATCCACTGTAAGATTGTTCGTATACTCCCCCTACATCCAACCAACTATATCACTACTACTCCCCCATTACCAATACAAAAAAAACTGATTACCCTATCCATGTTTCAAAACTATTCCTATACTCCCTGCCACCATTCCCCCACATAACACCAGTACCTCCCCATTACCAAGGCCAGTAAGCAATAACAAATTGCCTCATCACTGTTCCATAAGGTGGCATTATCATGCCAAACCTGGCAAAAGGTCCCTCATAGATTTTACTAAATGATTCCAAAGGCTGTAACCATGATGGTTTGCAGAACCAAATGAAATCTATGAGAGAACTTCGAACCATTGCACGTTTTGCGTGACTATACCACCGTAGGAAACATGGATGAGGGTATGGGTTGTTCCTATGCTGCTCGTGGTAATGGGGAAGTAATGGTGATATGGGGGGCAATTGTAGTAGGCAGTATAGGAATGGTGTTGAAATATGGGTAAGGTCATCGGTTATTCCTGTACTTGTATTGGTAATGGGGGAGTAGTAGTGATATAGTTGGTTGGATGTAGAATGGGTGGGTCAGTGGAAGGCTGGTGGTATTATCACACAAAACGGGCGAAGGTTCTGCAAACTAACTCACTGTCGGGGATGAAGAAAATCCGAAGGGATCAATGCAAATGTGCACAAGATTCATTGAAGCCATCCAGCTGCAGTCTGTGCACGCACGCTAAACCATCTAAACCCGCAGTACATGTTTGGTCGAAGTTTCCGCAATCCGCGGCACATCACGGACCAAACTGAACTCCAAACGCTGAAGCCAAGGAACCCTGAGTCTGGCAGAGTTTCCGAATTTTAGGGTACCTTATTTTGGAGTCCTTATAGTAAGGATCCCGCTATTTAGGGTACTTTATTCGGGTCCCCTGTTTGCGGAAACCTCCATATCCTACACCCGGAACCCCTGAACACCACCCTGAATCCTCGCGAATGGCTCCTCTAGGTCAAAGGGGTCAGCTGCACACCTGGTAGCCAGAAAAGCTGCGATTACCCCTGCCATGGGCACAACATCCCACGATCTGACACAGATTGTCTCTTGAGTCCTGACGGCCGCGGAAGTGCAGGGTTTGGGCATTGGGGCAAATCGGGGCATTACATGTAATGAACATTCTTGATCGTCTGCGGGTGTCAGGAGACTTCCAAGTGAAACCAGTCGCTCGACGTGGCCCCGCATCTGAGGCTCAGCAAGTCGTGTTTAGGGTTTAGGGTTTAGGGTTTAGGGTTTAGGGTTTAGGGTAAGAGTTCAAGGCACGCCAAGACCCAGACCGTAGCATCGCGATGTCAACTCCACGCGCGTGCGCACACCGTCCCCTTACCTGGCAACCCCCACGTGCATTCACGTAGCCTCAGTTTCGGTCATGCGGTCGTATTTAGGATTCAGTTTCTCCCTGGACTCTGGGCCCAGGCTCGGCATGAAATTGGATTGGCAAAAGTGGATCAGACTGCCAACGGCTGCTCATTTAAATCTCACACCCTCCACTAGAAATGCCGACTCCGTCGAACTACCCCTCTCCCCGGTCCCCGTGAAGCCTCCTATGTGCACTCCCCCCTGTCCCCTGTGCAGCTGGTGTGTCAAGGCTGAGGCGGCTGAGGGCGACATCTAACAGGGCAACTCTCTGCCTTTCTCTCTCTCTCTCTCTCTCTCTCCAGGGCATGGGGGACGGTCAAATCGCCCGGGCATCATGCCCACCCAACATGATTAGTTGGGCGCAAGGGAGTGAAGCACGAGCATAAA